TAATAGCTCAACGTTTCATATCGTTTTCCTCAGAGGTCATCCATCAACAAGCTGTTCTTCCTCTGAAGACCGGAATTTTGAGGAGAGCGACTTCGGACTATGAGAAAAATTCCATTTAAAAATTTTGCTAGAATAAGGACACCATCATAGTTAACACTAGTATCGGTGACAAAAATCGAAAAGTATAGTTCATCAGTTTCAGTGCACTTACGGCTAAATCCAACAGCGGAACGATATCGAGCCTAACGGAATTGAATTTTTCTACGAATGTTTTAAAAGATGATGTGAGTTGCCAAAAACAAGTGCCCTTTGTTTGCTGACTTTTCCTGATGTTTGTTCTTATTTAGGTGTCTTCGCTGGTTAACGTGGTCTCGCTGTGCACCAGTTTACGGGTTTTGGACTTGACCGACACGGGCTTCCCTTTGGATAAAATCTGGGCTGCCTTGAAATATGGAGGTCTTCAGATAGAGAAGCTATATCTTGGTGGATGCTATGCTGGAAAGAAAGCGTCTGACTATGCACAGGTTCGTACACTTAGGTAAATCCATTGAAAACCTGCATGTTAGCCTTCAATTTCAGCAAGTGAAGGAGTTTTTCTCGATGGCTGTGAATTTGTCGTTCATAAGCTTCACTAACACGATACTACCGGCGGAGTTGATGAAAGCAATGCTGCTTGGATTGGCGAGCAACCAGCAGGTGCATTGGATTCTCTTTTACTGTATCATTTATTATATTTACTCATTTATTGCCCATAGTTCTGCAATATTCTCAAATATTCTAGAAAGTTATAGTTTTATTTTAGTTGAAGCCGTTTCACCTAGACATCAGTGGTACCTGTGAAAAGAATTGCAGTTCAGTGTTGGAAGCGTGCTTAGGAGGTGTCCAGTGCAGTAGTATTTCACTACGAGATAACAACTTGGAAACAGAAATGCAGGTAATCGAGTCGTTATAATTCCAAGATACTTCGTGACACCCTTTGATGAAATTGAATGTTTTTACAGGCTGTTGTTCATGCGCTTGGTAATATTAAAACCCTACGCCGCGTTGATTTGGGTGGTGCCAATTTAATTGCACTTCGTCGCTCGTCGAAACAGGCCCATGCTGCGACTATCAACAAGACGATTCTTGATGTTGTGAAGCTGTTTTCTGATGAGTCTGTAAGTATTAGAGTGCTAGCGTCTTCATTTTTATAAATGCGTCCGGAAGTTTTGTGTATATTTCAGTGCCTGGAAGAATTGATCTTATCGGATGCACGGCTTGGACCTCACCTTAGTGTCCTACTGAATACACTTGGAGCAACAACTTCCCTCCGTCTACTTGACATATCAAATAACGATTTAGGACATTTTGGGGCGCGAATTCTTTCCAAGGTTTTTTTTTCATAAATTGCAATCTCCTCCCACACAGTTCGCGTTCAGTATTTGATAGAAAGAAAGTCTTTGCATCTCTCGCATCAAAATAGGCATTTACAACGTAATGGCTGCTAAAACGATCGTCTCTGCAGCGATATATGTTTCTGTAGTCAACGACATTATAAAAGTGCAGAATGGGAATCCAGAATTCACGGCAGCCGTTTAGGCCCTCCAATTGAACGTCTCTTTGCGAACGATTATCATTGACAATAACCATTTGGGTGTTGAAGGACTATACGACATTGCAACAGCGTTGAGCATGTAAGTGCTGAGTAATTTTCACTATTCTGCATAGCTCTAACGTTAGTAGTCGGTGAAGGCGTAGCATTCAGGAACAAGACCCTCACATCATTACCGTATCCCGTTCAAGACGTATGCGAATGCTTAGCAAGAGCTGGATGTGATCGTGTACGGCTTTTATCAGCAATGTCACAAATGGAGTCTTGTCCTGGAGAAGGAATCGTTCCCCTGCTAATTCGGATTTCGCAAACTTCCGAATAAATACAATGGTATGCTTTCAAAAATGCTTTGCGACAAGATTTGCTATCAAATGCAGTTTTAGGGGGTGGACCCAGGAAATTTGGAGAAGTGGGATGGGTTGGGAGATATTCTTAACAATGCGATAGAGGAAGCGTTCCCACAACGTCTAGAAGATATGGTGGATGATTTCGTTGAGCAGGTTTGTGTTCTCTTGTATTCAACTCAGAAAGTGTAACAGGAAGTCAAGGCACAACTTCCTGATTCTTGCAGTCCAAAGTTCGCGCCTGATTCGAGTGCAGCTTGTTTTACTTGTGGTGTGCGTTACGTACATTTATTTCCGCAAAGAAATATCTGCAGAGCAATACCATTCAGGAGATGAGCAGTAGGGAGTACACTCCATGCACATCTTGCGGCACGCGGACACGGAGTCAGGCGTAAAATTTAAAATGTCAGTAGCACGACGTCGGGTAGTGATTTCCTCCTACACGCCTACCATTGGGTCCAAGGGCCGTATCCTATCTTTACCCCAGGGTACGCAGATTCTATCCTTTGCTTGGGGGATACAAGGTTGCGTCATAGGACCCGCCATTGAACGCGTGATGTTGTAGCTACCCTCCCCTGTTGAGGCACTCTTTTCTCTGGGGTCGCGCTGTCTGAGTCTAGAAACAGAGTATGGCTGGTCCTACACGCAACCCTGTCTCCCCCAACCATAGGATAGAATCAGCGGCGGGAGATGCATCCCCTAGGGGGAGGATAGGATACGGCCCCAATTTATGACGCCAAGAATTTCTGCAGACAGTTATCACAAGAATGCTGAGTTGTGGGCAAAACTTTCGCCCCAGCCGGGATTCGTACCCGGATCTCTTGCTTTCCGGGCAATTGTGCTACCAGTTACACCACCGGGGCACCATTTCACCCCAACTCAGCTTTCGATGGTAGAGTTACCATAACTATCTGCAGTTATCCAACAAAAAGTCAAAACAGTAAGAAGCTTTCAGCCTTGCGGTTCACTGCCGATATCGGCTAACCGGCTCAACACGTTATACGTGTGAGTGCTGAAGCTATGGTACGTATACCATGAAAAGCTGAGTTGGGGTGAAATGGTGCCCCGGTGGTGTAACTGGTAGCACAATTGCCCGGAAAGCAAGAGATCCGGGTACGAATCCCGGCTGGGGCGAAAGTTTTGCCCACAACTCAGCATTCTTGTGATAACTTCGCAACGCGAACTGCGGCGTAAAACAGCAGTTATCCAACAAAACAAATCTGCCAACAGTCTTCTCTTCAGGTGCGTCGAGAATGTAAGCTTAACCTGCAAGAGTCGCTTGCTTCACTTGGCGGCGCCTCTGGAGATTCTGTTCAAACATCGGGCAAGGCTGAACGTATAGCCGTTAGTAGACTAAAGGAGCTGTGGGTGGACGACCTCAAAAGAGTACTGAGGTACTCATAAAGTTTCACTTTTGGATGTGAAAACCTGTTCTTTTTCCGAACTTGTTATTCTAGTGATTGGCGATGGCGAGAGTTGTGTGAACAATGTGTTGAAAAACTTGGTGGTGGAGTAGATGGAGTTTCGAACGCAAGCGCATCACAGAATGGCTCGCCTCGGCAAATTACTTCACCTAATGTCTCGCATCGGTTGGTTGTCTAGTTATTTGTTGCTTATAAGTGAAAAATAGAGATTTGCAGAGGTCCCGAATCAATTCATCACAGGCCTCGTAGCATAATTGGTGATTTACATTCTCCACTTGGACCTCAGTCATGGCGAGAGGACGAGCCTGGCATTTCGCTCGACTCACCACCACAACCATCGGCTTTAGTGCACCTACAGAAATCTCGTCCAAGGTTACAACGACGGTCTGCAGGACACGGTAAGCGAGCGCCAGTCACTGTTTCATTGAGGTCCGCAAATGCCATATTTTAGTGCGGCAACAGTTGTCGGAAGAAACGCCAATGAGTCGAAGCACCGATATTGAAGAGGAGGCCCAGTCGACAAAAAGTGAAGATAGTGGAGGAGCTGGTGATGCCGTCGTCAAAAAGGTTTTTGAGGACCTTCTCGTTTCACCGATTGTTGAGTATTCTTTTGGTGTTTCAGCATCCTTCAGAACGCGCCGGCTTCCGTGCCGCAATGGTGCCAGATGCAGCTTTGTTATCGCAGGCGGTGTTGCGTCCAGCCGCAGACAGAGCTATGTCACCTAAACCAGACTCTCCACTTCATAGCTCCGCTGTGAGCTCACCGGGGCCCTCATCTTCCCCACGCGTCGCAGCAGAAGCCGATTCCCCTCCTCCTCTACCGCATCGTATGAAGCGAGTTGTTTTTATAGTATCATTTCAATCGAGGATTCGCTGCTAAAACCTTCGGTATTGATATGTCGCGGGAATTACAGCTCTACTGAATTACTTGTGATGTTTAGGAGCTTACCAGCTGTTGCACCCTCTCTTCCACCGAAACCAGCGTCTCGCGTAGGACTAGCCCCACCAACTTCTCAAGCAGTTGCTGAACTAAGCGAGTCCAACGATGAAAATGCGAACAATCGTCGCTCTGTCGCTGATATGGCAAGGATTTTCGACCGGTAGACGATTATTATTACCCCAATAGTATTATAATAACATTGCCATATTGTTATTGTTAGCCTTTGCCTTAGTTTTTGACACATATCGCAGAGTTTGTTAAAAATTTCGAATTATATTGGCCATGTGGTAAAGTCCATTCCCAAGTCCTTAACCCTACCCAGTTTCGTTTGGGTTTGCGGCGACATTACAGAGCGCGAGACAGCGCTTCTGGCACTTCAACCTTTTCGGGATTAGGATGCAGGATCCCACATCGAAAACATCTGCAAGTGAACGAACTATGAGAGTAACAATTCGCGTGGCACCGGCGCTGTTACACCTTGCTTAAAGGGATGCACGATCGGTTTCTTCAAATCGCCCGATTTCCTCAAAACGTGCAGTTTGTGTATGCCTTCGCTGTGCAGTTTTCGGTGCAGAATCCTGCATAGTAGTCGTTCAGCGAAAACGTTGAAGTGGAGAGGCATGCTCTCGTTATCTTTATGGACCCGTTTCGTTTAGTCCTTCAGTTATGACTAATGACTTAATTATGACTTATGTCAGGGGAGGGAGAGGCTGGTCCATATTGTTGATTCATTTTCTATTTACCCCTCCTATGAATCACACATACCCACTAAGCATCTCCTTCAGCTAGGCAGTGACAAGTGATATGGGTGTTACACAAACAAATGTCCATCCTATTTACCATATGAGCTTTTGTTTCTTTTTTTTATCCCAGCGACAAGCTGGCCGGAAAATCATTGCGTCACGAAACTACATATATATAGTTGAAATACAAATAGTTCTTGTGCCGCCCGGGTATCCATACATCACACGGTTGGCATTGCCAAATCCTATTCCTGTATTATTTTGCTTGTCGCTTCTGAATGACTGCCATTCATTTGTGATTTGTAAGCCGATAAAGCTCATTAATATGTATATGCAATATTCACATCCGTACAAAAAGCAATATTACTCGTTAACGAAATATTACAGTTGATTAAATATTAATATAGTAAGAGTGCGATCACTAGTTATGCATTGAACCAATCTTAAAAATGACTAAGTGAAGCGAAAAATCTGAACACCTTATGCAGAACTTTCATTAGGGCCCTGGCTTTGTTGTCCAGTCGCACTTTTGAGAATGCGATCCAGTTGGACAGCGCTATCCACCGGCGGTACAGATGTTTTCACGACGTTCGGCTTATCCTAAACATTGAAGCAGAAGATGTTGTAGTGGCTGGAACGTCGACCAGATCAACTTACCTTCAGAAGGTTCGAGAAGAAACTTGACAGTGGAGTTTTGTTGTCTGTGGCATCATCCAAAATGCTTGTTTTCTTTTGCGCTGCTGGTGCAGCACTTTCAGCAGCAGCGAGACGTTGAAGAAACGCCTACACAGTATTGTTGATGATACTCGCCGGAACGTTGGCTAGGAATTAACTTTACCTGCTCATCCTCTGCTTCAACCACCTGCTCTCTAACGATAATTGGCTTTTCCCTTGTTGGCTCCAGAATACCATCAGCATCAGGTAAGCCCTCCTGAAGCAGCGTTATGCTCACAACAACTGCGCACTTAAAGCAACAGTCCAGGCAGGGTTTCAACTACTTGGTCATTAGGCGGTCAAAACATGCCCCAGCCCAACTAAAGTTTATAGGAAATGTCTTTAATTTCAAAACCTACCTCTAAAATGCGCTGGAAGGGGTCGAAGTCCTCTTGGAGGGGGCGGATCACCCATAAAGAGGCGGATCGCCCAACATTCGCTGTGCAGAGCGCTTGCTCGACTAGCGGTCGTTGCGGGACCGCCGCGCTGTATGAGGTCGATTCCATAAGAACCCAATTGAAGCGCTTCAATTTCGATTGCTGGCAAATAGTTATGTATTTGCAAGCATGCATGGCTATTTGCCAGCAGTTGCAATTGGAGCGCATGTACTACGGGCAGGTTCGGACAACTCGTCCAACACACGTCTCCCTAAACGGCAGGGGGAGTCCCTGTCTAAGCCCCTGCCCGACGTTTTTTTCTACTTTTTCTCTTTCTCCATTGACCAACTTCTCACCTGCAACGTCATTATAGGTGGTCCTTACCCGCGAATTCGTTCCTGGATTGTTGCTTTAAACTATTATAAGATCAAAGCTACATGTATTTGTCCAGATGCAAGAATCTTCAAGGGAGCCACGGGTACGTGAGCACGCTAATATGCAAAACACTTTGTCTATATACCGGTCGTCTTTTACAGCTCACCTGTGCCGTATGACAGAGGGGTCACATAAAGATGGGAATGCGAGCCTGTCTGACCAAAGAAAACAGTAATGCGTTGTTGGCGCACTTATATATTAACAGAAAATAATGTCATGCATTGGAGGTGACGGAAATAAAGCCAAAATTAATATGGACTCGCCTTTACGATTTCTATTTTCTTCTCTCCATCCCAACCAGCTGGCACAAACACCGAGTCTCTTTCAATCAGCTGGGCTGTGCTTGTGAAGGGAAATCCAAAAGCTCGATGTACGACGTACTTGTACAGCACCTGAAATCAGAAAAAAAAACTTGCATTAGTGGTCACAAATTCAAAATAGTTCCACCGTCCCTGGCAAAGCAAGTGGATTTCAAGCACGTATTGAAAAGCGCCTGTATTTCTCGCAAACCGCACAAGTTGATAGCTATTTTGGAAGGGAATGTCGTCATAGTTGTCAGGCCTTAAGTAGATCCTAGCATAGCACTAGTGAATCAAGAATTCATGTTTTATAATTATAAGGCCATCCTCGAATTTGCCATTTCTACAACAAGCAGAGAGCTGGGAATTTTCCTTCCTTATTGTCCACTATCAGCTTCCTCACCAGGACAGTTTCGGCAACAAGTCCTTTTCTTCCAGCTTTTGTTTGATATTTTTTGAAAAGAAGCCAAGGTATTCCAGAAATTATGTGCCAGCTTAACATCAAACAAAACAGAAATCATGTCGAAGGTCTCTTCAGTGGGTGGGATAAAGTAGCCCACGAGTAGGTGTGTCACAGATGTAAGACTCCAGTGCCATTGTGACGGCTCGAAAGTGCGCGACAATGGTGCTAGGGTCTTACAAAGTCAGCATTTGGCGACTAATCTTAGCATTTGGACGAGTTACGTCGCGCACACCCATGACACGCAACGTGGATTACGGCGTAGCGGCTAATTCAAATACGCGCGGGTTAGTTGAGCCGTGGAGCAGGCAAGTTCGTACAACTCGCCTTCCCCGCTGCTTCGAGGACATCATTCTTTAAGGCTTCAACAACAGTTTTCTTCGCTTCATTTTTCCAGTTTTCAGCCAATTCGGCACCCGCAACTCCATTGTTGACCACTGTGACCCCACAAATTCGTCTGGAGTATCACTTTAATATAGGAGAGGAAGGGATTTTGCGAATGGCCGCAATAACTCACCTACGAGTCAAGCACCACGAAATGCATAGACCTTGCTTTTTCTTCAGAAGACGACCACGAAAAATTTTGAAACATAGCTA